GAGCCTAACTCGCGTCCAAACCTAACCGTTTGAGAGTAAAGCGATCATGAGTTCTTCTTCTAGAAATCTTTATGCAGGAATTGAAGAAGGTCAATCAACCTCTAGGCCACCGCTTTTTGATGGCACCAACTACACATATTGGAAAGAGCGGATGAGAATTTATATCCGCTCAACCAACTTCCAGTTGTGGTTGGTCATCAAAAACGGTGAAGAAACGCCAATAAAGAAGGTCGGTGAAAAACTCGTCCCAAAGACCGAGGACGAATTTGATGCCAAAGACATAAAAAAGGTGCAAAACTACGCCAAGGCAATCAACATGCTGTACTGCGCGGTCAACCCCGATGATTATCGCAAGATCTCTTGCTGCACCACCGCTAAAGAAATGTGGGACAAGCTGGAGGTCACATATGAAGGTACGGACCAAGTTCGGGAAGCCAAAATTGACTTCCTAACGCAGGAGTACGAAATGTTTAGGATGAAGGAAGGCGAAAAGATCGATGACATGTTCGATCGGTTCTCAAAGATCATCAACGACCTTCATGCTCTCAAAAAGACTTACGCCAACAAGGATCTCGTGAGGAAAATCCTGCGGAGTCTCACACCCGAATGGAGATCAAAGGCTGACGCAATCTACGAATCCATCGGAGTCTCCAACGTCACTATCGACGGGCTAAGAGGTAACCTCAAAACTTATTAATCTACTATTCTAACCCCGTCTTTGGATGAACAAAAGAAGAAAGGAATAGCGCTCAAAGCAACCAAGGAGACCGTAGAAGAAGTCTCAAGCGATGACGACAACGAGTTCGGACTCGTCATCAAGAAATTCCACAAATTCATGAAGAAGGAATTTGAACGAAAAGGAAGAAAGCACGACAGTCCCCCGAAGTGCTATGGCTGTGGCGAGATAGGCCACATCAAGCCGAGGTGTCCAAAAGGCAAAAGCGGCAAGGACAAACCTGGCTTCAAAAAGCAATGTGCCTATATCTCATGGGGTGGCGACTCCGGCGACGAGTCAACTGACCAAGAAGAGGAAGAAGCCGCCAACCTCTGTCTCATGGCACACGAAGACCACGCCGACGAAATACAAGAGGTATGTATCACTTCCTCCGACTCTTACACTTTTGAAGAGATGCAAGAAGCTCTTTGAGAGCTTTATGATGAATTTGTTAGCGCTTCTAAAACCAACAAATCATTAAAGAAATGTCTTTCAACTCTTGAAAATGATTTTGAAAAACTGGAAAAAGATAATGAAAAGTTGAAACAAGAAAATAAATTTTATGGCAAAAGAAGCGCTGACAAACCGGAAATCTCTTCAAGTGAATGTGAATCTTGCAAAGCTTTAAAAGAAAAGGTTGCAAAACTTGAGAGTACGGTTAAGAAGTTTAATACACCACACAAAGATCTTAATTTACTCCTAGACACTATGCATTTTTTTAAGGAAGGATTAGGTTTTGATAAAAATGAATCTAAGGATAAAAACGTTGAGCAAACACCTAGACAACGTCCTAAGGCTCAACGTAAGAAAGTTAAAAATCAGGATAATAGAAAATCTAGTCAACCTAAGGACACTAGACAACCTAGACAAAAACCTAGGAACGAAAATGTGCATATTAGACAACCTCGGAAAAACTATCAAAATGAATTTGTGCATAAAAATAATTTTTCAAATAGACAAAATAATGCTAGGACACCTAGAAGAGAGAATTTTCAAAAACTAATATTTTCTCAAAATAGGATGAATATGGTTAGGCCCCCTAGCAACTATTATCAACCTAGGAGGATGCACAACCCAAACGTAGTTTGTCACTATTGCAATAGGGTAGGACATATAGCTCTCGTTTGCTTTACTAGGCATAGGCATTGGGCACAAAATGAATCACACTACCACTTTGCACCTAACACTCAAGGACCCAAAAAGACTTGGGTACCTAAATCTTATTAAATCATTTTTGTAGGTGTGCTTGAAGGCGTCAAGTGTACTTTGGTACCTTGATAGCGGATGCTCCAAGCACATGACTGGAGATGCATCCAAGTTCCTACAAATCAAACCCGCTAAAGGAGGAAACGTAGTCTTTGGAGATAATAGCAAGGGAAAAATTATCGGCGTC